AGATTTTCAGGTCAGTGTTTCATGTTACTCAGTTTTCTGTGGTTGTTACCAACATTTAGGTACGGAAGACTAAGTCCATAGGCTGGTAAATTCATCTAGACCTTGTTCTAGAATCTATTGATTATGTTAAATATATATAGTTAATTTCTAATCTTAATAACTAGTGCAACTTCTTTTTGGCTATAGATAGCTTTAAGGCTTACATCATGTGATTTTGTTGGGCCTACACACATATTTGATGCTTGATTTAGCACATTTATGTATGCTATCACATCCACCAGTTAACAAATATGCATTTGTAATAATTACACATCACAAAATGTTGAAATTGATTGTGTCATCCCATGGTTAACAAGTAGGCCAGGGGATCATAGCCGAGGCAATAAACCAGTCACTGAAGTGGTAGCATAAATAATAAAATTTTAATAAGGTTGCTTCTCCCTTTTTCGGATTAGTTCATAAAGATGTAACAGTTTCATACTTTTATTAGAGAATCAACATTTCAATATACCTTTGACTCAAATAATAGTGACAGTAAATATTTGACAATGATTCAATAGTACCTAAAATACAATACATATTGCCAAAGCTATTCAATTCAAAAGGCTAAGAAGGTACAAGTATATATATATGTATGCGATTTATTATATACATATGAGATTTATCTCAAACCACCAAGAGTATATGTTGTTGTATAAATATTTTTTATTTTGTGAAGTATTTTGTTTTCCTTTTCTCCAATCAAAACAAGTTTGCTATTATGGAAAAGAATTCTCAGTGGAAAAATTCTTTTTCATCTGTTTTCTTTGCAACCAAATGGACCTTAAGAAAAAAAACTTCCTTCTTTACATCTTGGAGGATGTTGCTTTTAGGAGATGGATTCCATCTAGATGATTAGGGCTATGGCCTTTCTTAAGGCTTGTGGAAGCCTTCTAAGAAGAATACTTGGAACTTATGAACTATGATGGACTCTATAATTTTGCTGCATATTATCGATCATCCAGAAATCGCTCCAAAGCTCAAGTCCATTGTATGAACTTTTTTGTTGCTAGAGAATTGATTTATACTAAGGTTGGAGTCTCACCAGATCCAATTATGTTTTTTTCTCAGTGAGCTAATTTTTGAACCGATTCTCCAATTGATCCTACTGATGTTATATATCTGAGAAGCCCATGTTTGCAGATCCCCAAAGAGATGATAGCTGTGGAGACAGTCAAATATATATAGCTTCTGTTCATGTCAACATATTTAGATTGCTTGTATGGAACTTGCAAAAATCAAGAACCACTCCATCTTTTGCAGCTGTAGTTACAACCTTGTGAGTTTAATACAGTGGCAAAAATATGGCTATCTTGTCTTCAAACAATAAGCTTTTGTCTCATCCATTTGATTCAGATATAAAAGAAAAAAATAAAACTCAATGCACAATATTTCCATCAATATACACAAAATAAAGAGGTTGTGCTCGAAGCCTAATCATTCACATTGCAAAAGATTAAATTTACGATTTGTCCTCTAATTCGTTTAATTGAGATATTTTATGTGTATGT